CCCTCGTAAACCCAATGGATGCTTCGTACCACGCATCCTGACATTTTGATTGCCTGGGCTCAGAGGCTAAGTTGCTGGCTGTGGGAGGGAGTTTTCATCCTACTGAGCTGATTAGTCTATGAAATAACTAAGCCAGCCATGCGGATCTCAGCCGTTTCACTTGTGGGTTCAGTTGGATCACATGGTGCAGGGGCGGGGGCAGGGGAGAGGACTTCAGTTCAGCTGTGTGTCTGAGAAAGATTTTAAAAACTGGTTCTGTTTGAGGGAAGCACAGAAGAAACACCTACGAAATAACAGCTTTTCAGAGTTGGGGAAGATGGTTGTACTTGGATTCTCCACCCTTTTATTTGAGGTTACTTACACCAGTATTTTGTATTGAATTTAACAGAAGGGATTAGATTTGTTGTATCAGTCACTTAACCAAGTAAATTGGGTGACTTGCCCTTTTAAACATTTCCTAGTTAGGAAACATCAGGTAGTGATGAAAAACTTACAGTGGGGCCTAGAGCAAGCCAAAGTTTTCCTGCTATATTTGAGGTAAACTGTTGTGTGAATGAAGGGAACAGACTAAGAGGAATAAAGAGAGAATCCAATTCTGTCATGATGGACACAAAGAATACTGACATGTCATGTACATATGTGCATCCCAGCAAGCAGTTTAGACACTGTACTGGGGTTTTGCCACTTGCTTGGGTTTCATATCCTGGTGCCTTAAGTACAGAATTCTCATTGTGAAACAGGAGGTCCTCACCAGGGCTGAAATGCACATCTATTCAAATTGCATTCTGGAAAAATGGTATCATCCCCATTTGAAAGGCAGCTGCAAAGGGTGGTCTGCCTACCAACCACAAAGAGTGGAAGAGAGGAGCAGGGCCAATTCCTCAGGATTTGGCTCTAGATGGGCCTGCCACTTGGTTCCCTCAAAACCCCTGCTGCACCCAGACATGATTTGAAGCAGCCTGCTGAGATGTTCAAAGGCATCACCTTTGTACCTTTTCTCTTTTGTTTTCTCTCCATGCTTGGAATAACTGGCATTTTATCACTGCAAGTACACTGAGAATGGCCACAAGTATAAAGTTCATGAGGTAGAAGGTAACTTCTCTAGGTCATCTGAATGTGGCCCATGTCTTTTATAGGTGGTCTGAGAAGGTTAAAACAGTAACTAGATTCATAGATGTAATTGGTGGAAAAGTTGGAACTGGAACCAAGGACTCCTGAGTCTCAGGCTTGCTTTGGTTTTTTTTTTTTTTTTTTTTTTTTTTTTCACCAAAGAACATATAAACTTAGTGAAAAATTGTGTAGTTTATTAGTGTTGGAAGTGATGTTAGAACTAGCGTTTTGATGGTTTTAGTTTA